TTTGGCGCTCTCTCTCATCATTATCTCATTTTCGACGCTATCTCAGTTTCCAAACCTTGCGGATTCAGTTTTCGTCGGCGTCTTTCATCATCTGTTCTTCGCTTTCGGTTTTTGTTTGAGTTATCTTCCGATTTCTCTCAATATCGTCGTGGTTGCAGTTCCAATTTCTCGCAAGTTGGTGAGTATATTTGTTTTTATTTTACTTTCCTGTGTTGTTTTGTTTTTTTTAGGTTATTGTGGTTATATATCGTCGGCGTTGTTTTTCTTATGCTAATTATGTGGTGATCAACCCTATTTTATGCTATTTTAGTTGATGAATAATGTATAGATAGTATATTTTCCATGTATATTTAGTTGTTTTTTGTGCTAGATCTGTTGAGAACATTTCGTTGTTTCTCGTCTCTGTATTAGGGCTTGTAGAATGCATAAATATCGTATGTCTTTTTCATTTTTAGTTTTAGAATGCAGAGGAACACTCTTTGTATTGTTGCTATGTTAGTTAATAACTTATGCATATATAGTTATATCTTTGCATGTTTTAGATCTACAATGTTCTGATATCGTTGGTTGATATTGCATATTTAGTTTATATGAGTTGCATATTTAGTTTATATGAATTGCATATCTGTTCATATCAGTTGCATATCTAGTTTAGATGACATGTTTTGATTTTGCATATCTAGTTCATATGAGTTGCATATGTAGTTGGTTATAATGCGCATTTATTTTTAATTAGTATATATCATATAATTTATTTCATTTTTGTGTTATTGTAAGTCAGATATTCTTGAAGTATGCCTCGTGGTAAGAGTAGCAAGCGTAATAGGGCAGATGCTGATGATATTCTGTTGCTTACTGATGGCACAGAAGGTCAGTTGGATAGTAATAAATCATTCCCAAAAGCGTTAACTCGGTCTTCTCCCAAGATTCTTGTGGACGCTATGAAATCTTTTAACCAAAAACAGCGAATAGCTGTTGAGCAAATGGGTTTTGGATGTCTGTTTGATCTGAAAATTAAAGAATTTCCGTGTCAGTTGGTGCACTGGTTGTTGTCGAACTTTGATCCTGTTAGTTGTCAGCTTGAGTTTGGGAAAGGAAGAAGTATTCATGTTTCATCTTTGGACGTTCAGCGTGTTCTAGGCTTCCCCAATGGTGATAAGTCTATTGAGAAGAAAAACAAATCTGAGGAGTGTGATTTGTTGAATCAGTGGAAGGGTTGTTTTGGCCAGTCTTCATTGAAAGTTACCCCCGATGTTGTATGCAATAAAATGATGGAGTGTGTTGATGGAGATTACTGGTTCAAGTTACATTTTCTTGCTCTTGTGGATTGTCTGATTGTGGGAACAAATCAATCTGGATATGTGAATCCTCTTTTTTTCAAGTCTATTTCTGATGTATCAGCTGTTTCTGAGTTGAATTGGTGCGACTACGTCATTCAGAACCTTATATCAAAGACTGATCACTGGCACAACAGTAATAAGTCTCAATTTAATGGTCCTGTTCTTTTTCTTGTGGTAAGTATTCATGTCTATATTACTTTCTTGTAAATTGTTTAGATTGTTATTGTTTGATATTTTTATTTATTTATTTATTTATTTTTTTGTCAAAATGCAGGTTTTATATGTTGATCGGGTAGTGATTTATGAACGAGATGTTCTTCCAAGGAGTCTGCCTTCGTTTGTTGGATGGAATTGTGGGATTCTCCGTCGACGATGCTCTAAAGAAATTAAGGTGGGTGGTTTTGGACGGGGATTTGTTGATGAACCGATGGAGATTTCGGCTTTACAGTTCAAGAAGCCTGAATCAAAGGATGTTTCTGATGATCCTGTACAGGTTTGTTATTTCTTTGTTTGGTTTTTGTTGCATATTTAGTTAATATGACTGCATATTAGTTGTTTCTTTTATGATGCTTAGTTCATAATAGTTGCATATTTAGTTGTTTTTAATTGCATATTTAGTTAGTATCACTTGCATATGTTTTTCATATGTGTTGCATATTTAGTTCATATGAGTTGCATATTGTGTGGTTAATGCTTAGTTCATCTGTTGTGCATGGTTACTGCTTAGGTGCTGCATATGTACACCTATATTGATGCATATTTAGTTTTATTTAACAGGTGTACAGATCAAAGCTTCTGAGCAAAGTTGCCTGTTTGGCCACTGATGTTGTTGATGTTATTTCGTTGCTTCAAGATGCACCTGAGGAGGTGACATCTGATGAGAATTACAAGAAGATTCATGAAGCAACGAAGAATCTCATTTCTCCCAATTCAAAGAATCCTGAATCTTCACAAAGACCTGCTGCTGCAGATGATTTTGATGACAGCGAGGAAACGAATGCTTTCTGGAATAACCCAGAAACCATTGCAGCAATCGAGAAGATTGAGCAAGCCA